CCTAGGAAGGCATTAAACTATGAGGAGATACAGATTACAGCATGAGTTAAGTCACATTGCATTTCACTGAAGGACCTTATCAGTCAAATCTCATCATTTCTGAAATTTCAGTTTATAGAAAAGAATCTATTTTTGGGAGGGGTGGGGGAGTGAAAAGCCAACTGAAAGCTTATCACTCCCCACCCCCAAATAATATGTTAAATATTCAAATATTTTGAAATAAGAAATGGGTTATACTTATTCCCATCTCGCCAATGAAGACCTTATATGCAGACCTGAGCACCAAATGCCTCAAGATGGTTGTGGAATTGTCATTAACAAAAACAGTTAAGTGTCCATAATGTGCTCAGCTTCATACAAGGCCTTGGACATAAAAACAAACAAAACAAAAATGAGGAAAGCATGGTCCCTGCCTTTGAGAGGCTCACATTTTGGCTAGGGAATGAAGGAAGTGCGCTGAGACCTCAGAGAAGCAGCGGAAACCGGGAGAATGAGGACAGCCCTGTTAACTGTACTCGGAGCAGCAGTCGGGGATCTGAGTCTCCCTGGGGGAACTCACCACCCCACTCAGTCTTAAAGAAAAATAGGTGTCTGCCAAGGAAACTGACCTGAAAGAGGACATTGCTGGTAGAAAGAGCAGGGGCAAAGTCACACAGGGACTGGGAGCGCACGCGGAACTGCACAGTTCATGACAAGAGGTACTCCTGGTGGTAAGTCTCAGACAGTTGCCACTGGCCCCTTCACCCTGTGTGAAGTCATGACTTCATGGCAGTGGAATCACTGAAGGATTTTGATTCAGTGGATAACAAAATGAGGTTTGGGTGGATCTTAGCTGACGACTGGGATTTGAAACTGTGGACGTCAGTAGGGAGATTCCATTGCAAGAGTAGAGGTTGTAGACAAAGGCTGTGTTAGGCAGGTGCATGAGGCTGGGAGGACACAGCAATCCACAGAAGTGGGGACTCAAGGGTCAGCGTGGGGAGTGTGAGAGCAGAAGGAAAGGGCCTGCCTGGATGAATGGGCTCCAGGAACTGAGATTACAAACCCAGAAGGAAATCCTACTCCTCTAGCAAAAGCCATCTAGGAGCATACCAATCAACAAGGTCAGGAAGGAGGGTTTGGTAAGGATCATCACCAGTAGTAAGTTAGGAGAACAGCTTCGAAGCTTTGTTCTAGGAGAACAGCTTCGAAGCTTCATTCATCACCTTTAGAGAGAAAAGATATATTATTTTATTTTATTTTTAGACAGGGTCTTATTCTGTTGCCCAGGCTAGAGTGCAGCTGTACCATCATGGCTCACTGTAGCCTTAAACTCCTGGCCTTAAGCAATCCTCCAGCCTCAGCCTCCTAAAATGCTAGGATTAAAGGTGTGAGCCACCTCACTCAGCCAAGAAAGGAGATTTAAAACACATGGAAAGCACCCGGTGAAGAACACAATAGCTTAAGATAACATGTTCTTCTATTCCAAGAAGTTATTTTTCCTATCGTTTTGCCTTTTTCACCACTTAAATTATTTTTTCAAAATCAGAGGGTGCTGTTTGTGCTGCATTTCGAGAAATACCAGCTTTTTGAACAGTCTGATATCTACTATCTCAGCCTCAATGAGGAGTAAACTGTCTACTTACAAAACTTACTAAGATAATACTCTAATGCCTAAGTTAGTATCTAGAACAATTTAGCAGGCAGGATATGTTTCTGATGTTCCATTCACCATCCTCACTACTTCTCAGGCAGTGTTCTCAGACTAAGTTCACAATGAACAACGTGAACTTTTAGGAGGCTTAATTTGGGGTGATAAAATTTTCGGAAGCAGAATTATAATTACAAACAAGGCTGAAATCGACTTAAATTTCAGGTGCTCGATAATATTTAACATGCCATAGCACAGTTTAAAAAATATTAAAAGAACTAGGAAATATTCTGCTGTATCAAGAAAATATTTCATTTTAGCATGTACAATTTTTCTTTTTACTGGAAAATACTCTTCAAATTAATTGCCATCCCAGAGGCAGCTCATATCCCGTTTGAAATGTATTTTCAAGAGCTCATTTACTAATCAAAGTTTGGCGAGGAAAAGAAGTCTGATAAACAAAATCTTAATTGAGCTTTTCTTCTCAAGCTCACTGAACCTAAGCAGGAGAAATTTCTTTACTTTTTTCTAAAATGCCTTTTTTATAGATGAGGAAGGCAAGTCTCCTACAAATCTTTCCCAACAAACCTTTTGATTTTTAGGATGAGACCCCTGAATTCACAGGAACATAGAAAAGGATGGTTTGCTATCCAGAGAACTTATTCATTACAAATCGACATGCCTTCTAAACTTTTACAGAAAATACTGTATGCCAAATGTCACACGCCAATTTTACAGAAAATACATAATGCCAAATGTCACACTGCTGCCTTGGTACAATATTGATACAAATGTATTTTTAAAATTGGCAAAATGGAATGCTCCTGCAAAAGAGAATAGAATTCAAATTATAGATCGTCTTTGTTTCGTTTAAAGATTGTGCCGTGTCTTCCTGGTGGGCTGACCGTGACTTAAATCTTCTTACCTAAGTTTAATTAAGTTGCCCTTAATTTTCTCCCAAGTGCATAATGATAGCTCTGTCATTTCCCCATGTGAGCTGCCATTATATGTGTGGAAAAGGGTCCATTGTGAGCTTCAAGGAAGCTCCGCAGGTTCTCTGGGGGAGGGGAGAGAACTGCTTTGTATGAACCACGTGCTGCTAGAGTAAGCCCCATGTTGCTTCAGTCCCATTAGCACGCAGGCACCGAGGACAGGCCGGACCCCGACTGGGAAAAAGCAGTCTGTCTGGAAGTTCCCTGTGATGGGGAGTCAATTTTTGTGAATCACTACCTTAATATTCATTAATAGCTTTTAGGCTCTTAATCCCTTATTGAATATATTTTTTCCCGTAATTGCTGCTTTTCAAAAGGGTTGCCAAAGTAGGCATTTCTATTCTCTGAAAAGTGCAGAAGAGAACATAATGTTTTATATTCATCTGTGATGTGTTTATGCTAATGTCACATCTCTGGAACAGAGCCACTGGGGGCCTTCCTGGCATAATGATTCATTCTGCTTTGAAACTGAACTGTTAACACTAGCAGTGTGGATATTTTTTTTTTCCTTTTCATAAATCTCTTCGGGTCATGGTTTTACAATTATTTAAAGTGCATGGACAAATAGATTACAGAGGAAATCATTTTGAAATGTTGACAGTCTCCACTTTCTGGTTTCATGTGTTGACCTGTTCATTGTTTCCTGTAAATTCCATCCAAAAGCCCATTGTATTTTGGAGTAATTGACTTCGGTTGTTTGAGGTGCTGGTAAACAATGAATGAAGTTTTCGGTAATATAATTTGTAATCTGGCCATGAGCATCTACTTGTCTTCCCGCAAATCAGCGTATTTTTAAGGCCAGCTCTTCCATCGTCCTCAGTAAATAAGAGTATCTGGGTTCCATCTGCATTGGTAAGTCCAAAGAAAGCTGTAAGTGTTGTACTTGCTTAGTCTATAAGGAACAGAAGGCTGTGGAAATAGCCATGACGAACCCAAGGAAAGCTGGGGAAGAGAGTCCAAAATGAGCACCCTCAGATCGCTTAGAACAGCCCGGGGAGTCTTAACCCCCAACCAAGTTTCTCTTGGCCACGCGTTGGCGAGTTTCAGGTTCTCTAGCTATACTTCATGCAGACCTGGCACCTGCTGATTTTCTGGCGCTGGGCCTGGCTTTCTTTTAAGGTGTCTGGTGATGGGGCAGAAGAAAACTGCAAGTCTGGTCTCACTGTTGTCAGCCAGAAGCTATACTTGTTTGCAAAAAAGTGGCAAGTTCCCTGGCGGCCTTGACACTCGAGGAATGGTGCTGCTCTGAAATCTTCCAAGCAGCTGCCAGGTGACATGAGGGCCTGTCCTCCTCCTTGGTCCCCGGCTCCTGTGTGCTACTCAGAAAAAAAGAGAGAATTTAGGGCTCAGACTCATGTAGACAATCCCAGACCCAATCAGAGGCATGCCCAGGTTTGGGCCTGATTTTAGCCTTAAATTATTCCATAAAGAACAAAATACAGTCTGCTAAAAAGGAGCAGTTGTAAGCATGTTGGGTGTGCACACCCAGTGGAGCTAATTTCACCGATGACTGGAGCAAATCCAACCAAGTGATTAAAAAAAATTGACAATTAAAAATAGATAATGGCCCTGCCTCACAGCAGGCTGTGGTTTGCAGTGGCCTTCATCTTGTGCCCCACAGTTGTTTGCAGAGTGTACTGAATTACTGTCCAGCCCAGACAGAAAGGGCAAGAGAAGGTGTCAGGAAACGGCAGGTGCACCAGGGTTCAAGGGCAGGGGCCTCACCATCAGGAACGAGTACCCAATCCAGAGGCTCCTCCAGGTTCGTGGACACGGGGGAATGGACTGGTCCTGGCTGTGCACTGCCACCGCCTGGGCTGGGGCCTCGCACACGGCACAGCGGCTGACGTAGGGGCGGATCTCCTCCTCCGAGAGCGGTCTCATCGGGAGCGGTGCGGCGCTGGCCAGCCAGTAGGACCTGTCGTTTCTCCGGGCGTAGTGGCACACTTGGTGGATGTTGCAGTAGGCAAAGGGCAGTGTGCTAAAGACGGGAAGGCAAGAGCCTGCCAGACCTTGGGAGGGAAGAAGAGATGATCGGTGTCTGGAGCAGCCTGGGAGGTGTGGGACCTTTCTCCACCTGGCCTTCCCAGACTCGTGTTCTGGGTCTGGAGGCCCTCACCAAAACCCACTTCCATGGTGGTGAAGTCGTTTCTGCTACCTCCCAGGTCTCTCATCCCATACTTATGAGCCAAGCCTGGAGCTGGTGCTGAAGGTGAGCACTGAACACACCTGTCCTGGCCCCGAGAGGGAGCTGGGTGAATGAGCCAGTGATGAAAACACATGACAAGCCCTAGACAACAGGTGTAGGGCACAGGGACCTCCAGGAAGGATAATTGGAATAAGTGATTTTAAGTTAGGACTTGAACTATGAAAAGGGTTTAGCCAGGTTTAGAGACCATGCAGTGACCATTCAAAGCAGAAGACAGAGCAGAAGACAGGGCCCAAGATAAGGGGCATGGAGCTCAAAGAACTCAGACCAGTTCAGTGGAGAGGACGGAGGGGAGGTTGTCTGTGCATCCGCCTGTCTCAGCCCAGAGAGAAATCAGGCCAGAAAACATAGGCTTTTTCAGTCTTGTTGAGGGGTTTGGACTTTATCCCAAGAGTTCTAAAGAGCTTTAAGATGTGTGCCCTGCCTAGATGAGGACAGGAGAGGCGAGACTGGTGGTCGGAGGCTGGGCAGGAAAGAGACTGATGTGAGGAGGGGCAGGAGAGAAGGGAACAGGGGCACGATGTGGAGCGTTATTTCTTCCTTTCTCCTGGGTTCGAAGAAACTAGCGCCCTGAGCTCCCCAGGCCAGGGCTGTCCCCAAGAGAGAAAGCAGATGTGCGGCAGATGTGCGGCAGCTGCCACGCCCAGGCCTGCACTCTGCCCTCCCTTCCTCACCGCTGGAGTCACGCCGGCCACGACAAGACGCACCTTACCATCAGCCATGCTGTTGGCACGTCCCTCCTGCAGCCACCACCCCAACCACCACATCTCAGAAAGACAGTGTGTCCCAGCACCCAGGCATTTACACCCTTGACTTGAAAATCAGTCCCCTCAGCTTACAAATCCACTGTGGAGAACTGATAAGGAGCATCAAGGGATAGCCCTCAAGATGCAGTCCTGTAATTCACATAAAAACAGGACAAGTGTGGGGAGATTCTGCCCAAACAGAAACACATGACATACACATATGGAAGCACCTTTCCATAGGAATACAGGAACTGGCCTCATCCTGAGAGATGATTTACATTTGTGAGTAAGAAGGGCATTTTAGAACAGAGTTACTTTTATCTCACTGGGGAAGAATCTTTTTCAAAAAAACTACTGCTAAGTAGCCAGATAACAGTAACTGTAGCCAGAATCAGCTTCTTTGGGACCTTGTAGGATCCTGGGCTTAATAGATTTAGTAGAAAAATTAGCACAGTAGTTTTTTTAGAAAGTAAAAATAATCCTACTGAAGATTAGTGATCATTTAAGATGTTAATGAATCAGTAAAATTAACCACCAAGTTTCACTTTTCAAGCAGCAGGTATGAGCGATCGTGCGGTCTGTCTGTACCAAGGTCTTGACTGTGAGCTTTCTCCTGCCCCTCCAGGCACAGCAGGCTGTACCCAGTCCAGAGCCGGGGCATGCCTGTGGGGCAGGCGGGCTCTCGGTCCGTCTGACTGTGGAGAACCAGGAGGAAGCTGCTGAGATATCCAGGGCCAGATCCTTTGGGCCCGGGGTCCCCAGGGGGACCAGGAGGACCTGGGGGAATAAAGGAAAAATAATGAAGGCAGTTTACGGTCCAGCCTAGCAAACATTTGCAGACACCTGTTCTGGAGCTATGCTAAGCATTCAGGAAGCAGAGGTGAGCACAGCACAGCGCCCTGTCCAGGAATGTCCCTCCCATACACACAGCTACAGTAAACACAAACACAACTTATTCAGCAAGTATCTGTTTCAAGTAGCTTGCATGAGCCTGGGCTATATTAGCATAAAGACAGGAAAATTCCTGCCCACCTAGAGCTGCTGGAGGGACAGAAATGACAACAGGCTTAATAAAGAAGGGAATTAGGAGATCCGTTAGGAAGAGCAGACTGAGAGCAGGGTAACAGTGCACCCTGGGTCTGGCCTCCCGGGCTGCCGAGCAGGTGGTGTACAGCATCTGTCTTCCTGACACTTCTGGGGCCCCTCTCAAGGTTCCGGCATGTTGTCAGCCCCATTCTGAGAGGGGTGAGGGCGTGGGGTCCACATGCACAACTGTGGATCTCTTCTCTTACAAGGAAGCAGGGTGGAAGGAAGGCCTCGCTCTACATTTCTTACTGGCAGGGAAGTGCACAGTCCTTTAGAGCAAGCCTGTCTCCTTTGGCTCCTCCACGGGGCTACTGAGGAGGGCCAATAGCAATTTCTAATTCCCAAGGGCAAAAGGTGAAGTTAGACTTGGAGTCTTTTTTTTTTTATTAAATCATAGCTGTGTACATTAATACTGTCATGGGGTACAGTGTGCTGTTTTTATATACAATTTGAAATATTTTCATCAGACTGGTTAACATAGCCTTCATGTCATTTTCTGAATTACTGTGTTAAGACATTTATATTCTACATTTAGAAAGATTCACATGTACCCTTGTAAGATGAACTACAGAGGTGATGCCACCAATCACCCTCCCTCCACCCATCCTCCCCCCACCCCTAGACTTGGGTCTTGCTCTGTCACCCCAGCTAGAGTGCTGTGGCATCATCATAGCTCACTGCAAACTCAAACTCCCAGGCTCAAGTAATACTCATGCCTCAGTCTCACAAGTAGCTGCAACCTATAGATGTGTGCAGCTGTGTGCAACCATGTGCAGCTCACTTTTCTATTTTTAGTAGAGACAGGGTTGGGGTCTCGCTCTTGCTCAGGCTGGTCTCCAACTCCTGACCACAAGCAATCCTCTCACCTCGGCCTCCGGGAATGCTAGGATTCCAGGCATGAGCCACTTGTTTGTAACCACCAAGTTACAAACTGGCCTGAAGTTAGGCTTTACAAACAAAAGGCATTTGTTTTTGTTTTATTCACCCTGTTTCTGCAAGGCTGACAGGCTCTCTCACATTATCACTTTAACCAGAGATTACAAAGTGGTAGCTTGTGGACTGAGTCAGGCTGGTGCATGTGTTTTATTTGATCTGTAAAGATTTTACAAGTTGGAATTTTGAAGTTGAACAAAGCAGAGTGGAGGGAACCTTGGACCCGCATATGTACCAGCCACAATTGGCTGGAGCTGAGCTGCAGCTTTTAGACAAAGCTCCATTTTGCAGGAGATCCCACCCAGGCCTCCTCACTCATTTCTACCCTACTAACCTGGCATGGAGTTTATGCTCCTCGCCAGACACTCTCACAGATGGGATTGTGTCTTGGAGTCCCTGAGTCCTGGCGCCCACCATGCTATCTGGTGCTTTCTATTAAGTTTCTTTTCTGAAGGGTCATACCTCCCCTCCACCAATGCCTACACCCCAAGCTTTTTCTTAAGAACATGCTCTGTATTTGAAACAATGTGTTGTTGGCTATGTAATATGATGAAGTGAACTTGTAACCAGAGGCCACAGGCTTCAGCAGGCTGTGGAGGCTGAGAACACACCCCTGTCCTCACTCTTCAGCACAGCCTGTCAAGGGGAATCACACAGCAAGCCAGGCTGCAGACTCAGCAGGACCTTGAAGTAGGAACAGGAGAAATGGAAATGGCGGAGGCTTTTCCATTGTGTGTGCAGCTGTTTGGGGAAGTACAGAATAGGATAGGGGCCTTGACTCGGTCCTGCGATGCATTAGCATCAGTTAGAATGCGGGAAACGCCTCCCCCTCTGTTCTCCTTGCTTCTGTCTCTCTGAAACCTGGTGAGTTGGTACCTAAAGCAGATTCTTTTAATAGGAGCCAGTTTGGAAAACTGCCTCAGGGGTCAGAGATTTTGTACGCAGTTCTCAGATCAACAGTGTCAGAGAAGGGAAAAGAAACTGAGGCTCTACCTGGTGCTCCAGGGCAGCCATCTTCTCCTGTGTCACCTTTGTGTCCGGGAGGCCCAGGAGACCCAGGCACTCCGTCCTCGCCCCTCCTGCCATCCAGGCCAGGCTCTCCTTTGCACCCTGCACAAATGTTCATGACAATGGTGGTGAAAACAACCGTGGCACCTGCCAGCCCTTACTGCCTGTGTGTGTCCAGGGCCAGCCCCGGGCGTCCTGCCTACTACTTCTCCTGCATTGCATCAGCTCATTTCATCTTCCCAGCCACAGGAAATCGGGATACACTATCTCCACTTTGCAGTTGGGGTCACTGAGGCTCTGAGAGGTCAAATACTTTGCTTAATTAAAGCCAATGAGCCAGTAAAGGGCTGGGACAGGATCTGAAGCCAAAGCAGGGAGGTGTTGAAATAGAGGTTTTCAAATTTTCTTCCTATTCCTGGACATTGCACGTTTTGTAAAACACTGAACATGTATAGCTTTAATAATTAAATATCCTTAATAGCAATTTTGTCAACCCCACATGGACAAGTGAATGAACTATAATAGGATTCAGTTAGGGGTCAAGTTTAATCTGGAGAAAGAGCGGCAATTTAAAAAGCTTTTTGTTGAGTGTTTGCAGCATGCCAGGACCCACACTACTCCTGTTACATGGGTTACATGGACATCCCATCTGGTCTCCCCAGCAGCCGTAGCCCTTGGCACTCTCACGTGCCAGTTTCACTAGTCCCCAGCCTGAGGCTCGGGGGTGGGGAGGAAAGCTGCATGCAGGGGCCACGAGCAGGGGCTGTGCTGTCACCTCCTCAGCCCCCACCCCAACGAGCTACAGAGGACAGAGGACCCAGGCTGGGACTTGCAGTCATCACACTAAACCTTGAGGGTTCAAGTGCTTAGTGTTCCACAAAGGATCTGATTTGGAGAGGCCAAAGAAAACCTGGGAGCCACGGCAGGTGTGGCACACCTGTACTCAGCTTGTGGGCAGGCTGGTGAGTGGCATGGAAGTCCACGCAAGTGTAATGTTCCACACACTTTTATATCCACAGGAATGAGAATGGCAAAGTGCCAGACAGCAATTACATCATCATGATATCACTGGGTAGAGTTAGGGCTAAGAAAACATGGCATCTTCTGGCGAAACCGTGGGTGAGAAGGCCCAAGCAATTTCTTCCTGCCCCACACTTGGTTCCTTTTTTGTCAAAATATCAATTCCTTAGCCATAGTCTCCCTTCGTTCAGGGTGGCAGAAATGGTCATTGTCTTTGGGGAAGTTTTTACCATCAGCCCTACTTACCTGAATTCCTAATCCTCTCTAGTTTCCAGGCTTTGCTTGTTTTTTTGTTTTTTTCTCTCTCTCTTTCTCTCTCTCTCTTCCTGCCACAAACTGGCCTGTTAGGGGCTGATTTGTGTGCCCCCAAATTCTTATGTTGAAGTCCTAATTCCAGCATCTTAAAATGTGACTGTATTTGGAGATAGAACCTTTAACAAGGTGATTAAGTTAAAATGAGGCCTTTTGGTGGGACCCTAATCCAATCCGACAGTGTGTCCTTATAAGAAAAGGAAATCTGAACCCACAAAGGGACACCAGGGGTCCATGTCCCTGAGAAGGCCCAGAAGAGAGACCTGTGTGATCATGTGAAGAAGGCAGCCGTCTCCAAGCCAAGGTGAGTGACTTTGATTTTGGACTTCCATATCCAGGCTGAGAAAAAGTAGATTTAAGCCAGCCAGTCCGTGGTGCTGTTACGACAGTCGGAGCAGACTGACACAGGCTGGGACCGGCCGCTGAGTCAAAGGCCTCGCTCAGCAGCTTGGCGGCCTTCACTCTTGCCTCCTGTCTCCCCTCCTATGACTGTGTGGTCAGCGAAAAAGCCAAGGTGGCCAGTCGACAGGGGGAATTCATGGAGCCACCCTCCCTCACCCTATTTGAGGGACCACCTTGCCTGCCAGCACAGGTTCTAGTGAACATGTTAGCAAAGTGAATGTGTCAAGAGAACGTGTCAAGTGAACGTGTTAGCACAAGAGGATGCTGCCCCACCCTGCCCCCTTAATACACCAACCCTGCACGGAAAGGACTCCCGGAGGTGGGGAGGCTGGACTTGGTTCAGGCTAGTTAGAAGATACCAGGTTTCTCATGCACTTTCCTTGTCTTCAGTTCTGGGCACCTCTACCCTGCCGCTGGGTTGCCCCAGGCCAGGCCCCAAGTGTGTTCACACCAAGCTAACTCACCCCCAGCCCTCCTGGTGTGAAGCTTCCCCTCTCGTCCACCTGAACAACGTCAGTGGGAAACACAAACCTAAACATGGCAAGGACAGCGACTGCTGCTTCTGAGAACGGACGTGCGAAGGCATCTGCCTCAGGGGGCTGAGCAGGGCCTGGGAATCCACATTTCCAGCAAGTTCCAGGTGCTGCTGCTGCTGCTGGCCCCAGAAACCACACTTTGAGAGATGCTGTTCTATGTTACTAACTTTCAAAACTCTTTCTGGTGATGAACCTGGTGGTCTAGTTCAAGAAATCCTACACTGCTGCCTGTTCTTGAAATCAGAATTCTCCTCGGGAAATTTCAGGAAACGAGAAGAATCGCCCCGGCAAATACGCGTACCCACTGCTCCGCGTCAGGCGGTGCTCCAAGGCTTTGACTTGTTAGTTCACCTTTGTTGCTGATGAGGAAACTGAGTCAGAGCACATTTATGTGGTAGAGACACAGTTAAACCCACGTGCTCCAGTTCTAGAATTTCTGCTCTCAGCCATTACACTGTCTCTTCATGATAATCAGGGATGCCTATACGATGCTCGTTACCAGTTGCTTGTCATAGTGGAGAGGGGGAAGACCTTACATCAGAGTGGGTCCTCCAGGTGTAGACCCTGGACCCGAGGCAGCCCCACCTGGGAATTTGTTAGGACTGGAGGAATCTCAGCACCCTTTCTATCCCTAACAAATCAAAACGTCTGAGGGCTGGCCAGCCGTCTGTGTTGTAACAAGCTCTCCTGGGGATCCAGGTGCTCCAGGCAGCTTGAAAACCAAGGCCTGTAAGTTCCTTGTGACATGCCCTCCCTACATCCAGGTGAAATCCCCCTGTTACCACTTCCCCCATTACGCTTCAGTAGCACTCAGCACATCTGCACCGGCTTGGTTGAAGCCTTGGTCGCCTGCTAGCCTGTTGCCCCAAAGCACAAGCCCTTGTTGGCTTACTTGTTTTCTAGCAGAGCCACTGGCACCAAATCAATCAATAATTTGTAAAAGTGGTGGTTAAATAAATGATGACACAATCATCTCTGTGACATATTCCGCCGCGACTGCAGACACCATGGTAGGTGACAGCACAGAAGTAACAGCAGATGAAGAAGGGCAGTTTGCAAAAGAGCGTGCCTCCAAGGCTCTGCTTAAATGCCGGGACTTGCTGGGGTCTGCAAAGTCCTGCAGTCCTCCACCCCCCCCACCGGAATTAACCTCTCCTTGTGCCTTTCTCCCAGTGCCCTTCACTTGTAATCTACATCATTTTAAGCGCCTTCTGTTCTATTGGCTTTGTATGCCACAGGATGGTCAGACCCCGGAGGGAAAGTACAGGTCTACTGTCTTTGCACAGTGGTCCCTGCACCTCCTGCCATTCTTTACACGGAGCAGAGGGCATCTGAAGTATGAACTAACTGCAATTTGCAGAACCCCATGATAAGCTCACATCTCCTACTTGAAAGTTATTTTTTTTGAAAGTTGGGAAGAACCTACCTAACACTTGATACTAAAAATACATATTTACATAGCAAAGAAACTTGGTTTTAAAATGAGGACAAGTAGAAAGAGAAAAAAACACTGGCAAATGCTTTTTAAAAGAATGGTTTGGCTTCAATATTTAAATAGGGATCCTGCCAACCTGACAGTGACCCAACAAAGCTCACGATTACGTGAACCACGTGGTCCCTGCCAAAGTTCAGAGCAGCCCTCCTCTTTTACCCTGGCCCTCCTCTAAGTGACATATCTCCTTCCTTCTCACAGGCTCTGCCAAGTCCCAGTTCAATTGCTTTTAATCCAATATCAAGTCAGCAGCTACTAATTACTGTTAATGGTGCATATACTAGGTTGTACTAAGAGGTTTCAAAACCCCGTGTCCAGAAGTTGGCCAAGTACAAAGGACTGAAGTAGGAGTTCAACATAAACATAGAAGGGATGTGTGGATCCAGTTAGTACATAATTAATGTACTTTGGGTCAAGGTAAAAATGATGTCTTAAGGGGAAGGACGTCTTCATTGCTTCCTCCTCATTAGTTGTTTAGACTCCGTAAAAAAAGCAACATCATAAAACATCTAGAATTTTGTTTCAGTAATACATGGTGAAAAAAATGAACAATTGGAGAAAGACTCGTACCTGATCCTGGGGGGCCTCTCGGTCCAGGGAGCCCCATGCCTCCTTCTGGTCCTCTTGGGCCGGGCACCCCAGGAAGCCCTGGGATTCGGGGGCAGTCTTCCACATCCGCAGGCGGCCCAGGTTCACCTGAAATTGGCAGCACCACCACATCTGCATGATGGGTTCACATGCTGGGAGCAAGCTCCTTTTGTATTCCCTGGCTACAGATGGACTCCAGACACTACACTGAAATCTGAACAGGGACTTCAACATTCCACTGTGAGTTTCATGCAGGCAAACACAGGATGCATGAAAAACTTCTAGAAAGCATTTATTAGGTGAATGAATGAATGAATGACCAAATGAGTGGACTATCAGTGGAAGTGGAAGAAGCTTGAGATAGTGAACATTGGATAAAGCAGCAATAATTTCATGACGTTCACAGGTTTTCCAACCTTTGGGCCATTTTTTCCTGGGGTGCCAGGCATAGTTGGTATTGTAAAAGGCACTAGTAGGCTCCTAAAGCTCAGCTAGCTGTGTCCCTGGATCATTACATTGCAGCCAGGTGGGTTTCCCTAGTGTCAGTTACTTAAATAGAATTTCAGGATGCCTAGAAGTGCTAAAGCAGTGACTTCCAATCTTGAATGAACATTGGGCTTATCTGGGGCAGTTGTGAAAATATAGAAGGTGCCAAAAAAATGTATACACATTTTAGGAAAGGGGAGAAAATGAATTAAAATTGTGATACTCAATATACCTCAATAGCAAAAGATGAATACATGTAACATTGAGCACCTCTTGTAATTGCAAAAGTCAAACGTGACTTGAGTATTATAAATTATATACAGTTATTTTTTTCTGTCTTTCAAAAAATGTGTGTATTTTTGGCACCCTCTGTATACTGATGCCCAGGTCTCATCTCCAGAAACACTGGTTTACTTGGTAACAGGATATGCCTGGGCAGTGCTCTCAATGTTGGCCATACAATAAACTCTATCTGGGGAGCTTTCCAAAACTACTAATGCTAGGACTCCATCTTGACTTACTAAACAAGAATTTGGGGGCAGGGGTGACACTGGAGCATCAACATTTCTTTTTGGGTTTTTTTTTTGCAGTTTTTGGCCAGGGCCGGATTTGAACCCACCACCTCCAGTATATGAGGTCAGCGCCCCACTCCTTGAGCCATAGGCACCACCCTGAATATTTCTTTTAAACTCCTCAGGTGATTCCAGAATCTACCAGGGCTGAGAAGCACCACAGTAAAGCTATAGTTCTGACTTTAGCACATCAGAATCATTGGGCTAGTTTGTTAGAAACTGGAATTTCTGAGTCAGGAGGACTGAGGTAGGCCCCACCATGTACATGTCTAACATGTTTCCTGGTGAGACCGATGGTGTTGAGCTGGAAATCTTACTATGAGAGTCACTAGGCTAAAGGTTTGACATATTTTTCTTTCTTGTTACATTCACTATTTTAAAGGCTCTTTTTCTAAAGCTTCATTCAGTCATCCTCCAAAGGGAAAAAAAAAAAAATCCCACAAGGGATAATAAATAATAGCACTGAACAATAATGATAACGGCTAACACTTACCGAGTGCTGTATCACGTTATTCACTGTGCTAAGTGGTGCAGTATTAAATCCTCCCTACAAGACTGTGTGTGTGCTACTGTTATGACAATGTGACAGATAAGGAAACTCAGGCTCAGGTAAATAAGGGACATATCTGCAGTGACACCACTAACACAAGGCAGAGCCCAGATTAAAAGCCAGTATATTCTGGCTCCAGGGCCATGTCCTTAACCACCAGATTACACTGCCTCAAAACCTCTTCATAGCTGGGTGAGAAATTTTCATAAATAAAACATGTTTTAAAACATACCATTTGATTAGTTATGATTTTCTTCAAAGATAAACAAATGCGTGCAAAATAATTCTAAGAATGCGATGATAAAAGAGCAAGAAAATCTTAGAAAAATGAGGCCATCACAACCAAGTTTTAATCTACACGATGCTAACGCATCTGTGCAAATGGACTTCAACTCCATAAGCTGTTTGGAATTTAACCCCTTGTAAAATATGCTATAAAACCACAAGTTGCACAGGCCCCAGTGTATTTTTACAGCATGTATAGTTTAATGTAAAACATGGCTTTTCCACTCTGGGTGACTTGAGAGAGAGATGGGAACATTTCCTGCCTTCCTCGAGTGAGCTGGGCATTTCCCAGGGGTCGTGGTAGTGAGGGGGGTGGTCACAGGGGCATTTGCCTGGTTATCATAGTCACGATTTTGATGTTATCCTCAAATGCATTAATACACACAGAGATACAGCATTGAAATGAAGATCTTAAATATACAACTTTAATTTTTAAATATGAACATTTAAAATAGCAGGAGTGACAAAAAGATTTTGCTTGTGCTTTTCCTTATTTTCTAATTAAACCAGAAGCTGAAAGAGAGGGACCACAGCCTCTGTTTCAAGGACCCTAAAAATATATGGACTCTATATGCAGAGCCATTGTCACTACGGCTAATAACAGATGCCTGGAAAGAAAAATGCCAGCATTCTACTGTTAATCTACAAGTTTCAAACTGTAGACACCCTCGTATTAATCAGAAATTTAAAAATGCAAGTATTCACAATTTTTCTTTTCTTTTCTTTTTTCAAAAATGTTTCTTAGTTTCTTTGAAAATGCCAGGCAAAAAATAATGTTGTTTTGACATTGCCAAGCATTAAGCGAACATTTTCTTTTTCACACACAAAGAAATGTGCTGCTTGAAAATGAACTTAAGGGTCTGATAGGAAAGGCTTGTCACAGCCCCTCACTGAGTGCTGAGGGCCTGTCTTTTAATGTTGTTGATACTGCTTATTTTAGGGATGTTCTATGTATTTGTATCATAGAATGTATAAAAGGAACTTACACGGGTATTACTATAGTACTCAACAGAGAAAGCCCTCACACTTCATGCCCAAGTTGAAATTATACTACATACAAGCTGAGTATCTACACTGCCTTGACAACCCATAATAAGGCTCAGTATTAGGACACTCTAATGCGAGGTTACTATATCTGTAACAAGGAAGCAAAGGCATTAAACCTAATATAATTACAGAACTCCATCTACGGAAATGTAACAAAGTTTGACTCACAAATATAGCAGAAACGATAGGTACAGAAATGGCTGGAAACAGACTTAGGGGAAATTATCAATTGTACAGCAATGCTAACTTACCTCTGGAACCTGCAGAGGTCGGAAGCCAAAAGAACGAGAAGCACCAGACAATGGTTTTCACATGGTGGAAAGAGATTTTAAATTTGTGAATTAGGACAAAAATGAAATAAATTGAGAACATAAATAATAATCTGGGGCAGGATGGGTGACAAGCAGAATGGCAGCGTCTTATTTACATAAAAAGTCCACTACGACGTGACCGACAGGAGCAGCTATTATTCAGTCATGGAGTTTCCATCTCTAGAAAGCCTTGGAATGAAATTCTCCTGAGTAATATAAAATTCTAGACAATTTCTTATGGAAAACATGCTCTAATTTAATGTCTATAGGAATTCTATCCATTGAAAGGCTTCTGAAAGTAATTAGTTTGCCAAGTTTTATAGGTTATGCACAGAAAGGCAATATAAAAAGAACCAAAGTATAAGCCTTTTCTCCTGTTGTTCTATATATATAATAAAGGAGTGCTACTTATTTATTCTTTGGCCTAGAGTGCTAATTTACAAAATTCCAAAGTATTCTGACCTGATACCCCATTACCATGACATTGGTTTAGTATCTGGAAAGATACTACTTTTGCCAACCTCAAATGCACATCTGCTTCCCTTCCCCCCCCCCACCCCCGAACACTTCCTTGGCTTGCTTTGACCCTATATTTAAAAAGTGTTGTCTACAGAGTTAAATCCAATAGCCTTTTGCCTCCATAGGAACTTTTTGCCTTGACTATGGAACCATTTTCCTAGTCCTTTTGGCTGTCTCCTTGTGTTTCCTCCAGGCAGAGATAGCTCTTTTCAGCCTGACAGCAGAAAGTGTCAGAATAAATAAAATGTACTTTACAGAAAAAGTCAAATAGAACATCTAGGAAAATCAATGAAATTTCAGAGACAATTAAATATACAGTCCTAACAAATAATCATCAAATCAGTTGTTGCCTCTTTCAGGAAGGAACACATTATTTATTTCCCTTGGAAATATTACATGTAAAATCCACTCCTAATCTCTGAACTTATTCTGATAATATCAGTTTATAAAACATAAGACTTTGCAATTCAGCTGGAAAGAAATACACCCTTTATATCAGAAAGGGCTTACATCATAAGAATGTACTAGTAATTTCAGAAGATTACCTACTTTCTGAAAAATGCCCATCATAACAAATGGTTATACAAGATGCTGTGTGTCTGCTGCTTAGTGGAAATGGAAATGCATTAGACGCTTACCTGGAGGACCCGTGGGCCCTTTTCTGCCAGGAAGTCCAGGTAGACCCTTCTCTCCAGGTGGCCCAGGAAGTCCGTGTGGCCCCTGGGGCCCTGGAAATCCCACTGGTCCTAAAAGAAACATAAAATGGGGGCTCTGGAATGAAGCCATATGGACACGATGACAGTTTAACTGCATTCGGAGATTCACTCCAACAATATGCAGGTCATAACTGGCCTGAGGATCAAGACTGGCCTCACTTTCTGTTCTCAGGCTGAGAAGGGCTGTCTTTGCCTGGACAAAACACAAGGATACAGCCAAAAGGACCAGGAAAATGCTTCCATAGTCAAGGCAAAAACTAAATTATAATTAATCCTGAAATTATATCCTAAATCCTGAACTTTCTCTGGAGACACTCAAAGACCTAGAACACAAGAGAAAACAAGGGAAGCGTTGTCAGTATCTGGGAACACTGAGCCTCCCCAGCTGGTGTTCACACCACCCTCTTGCTCAGTGTCTTAGTTTCGGCCACACCAAGTCAGCTCCCTTCTCTTCCCATCCATAAGTCCTCCTCATTCTTTAGCATTCAGACCAAGTCTCACTTTCTCGGGGAAGCCGGCCCTGGAATCCCACCCAAAGTCCAGTTGCCTTTTGATAAGCTCGTTGCTCAGAGCACGTAGCTCGGTTTATATTGAGGCATCCCTTAGGATGAACTCGACTGTCCTCCATGAAACACGATGCTTAGTGACAGTGGGGACCCTTTAAATTTGCTCACCACTATATTCCTGTAGGTGCCTAGCAAATGTTTGTGAAAT